TGGATTGGCTTTTTAAAGAGCTAAGGCAATTTGCATCAAATTGTGCTTCACAGAGGAAAATGAGAGGAAGCCTATCTTAGTTTTTTTTTATTGCTATAAGAAACACCATGACCATGGCAACTTTTATAGATGAAAACATATAATTGAGGAGGCTCACTTACAGTTTCAGAGGTTCAGTCCATTATCATCATGGTGGCAAATATGGTGGCATGCAGGCAGATGTAGTGCTGGAGCTGAGGGTCCTACATCTTGACTCAGATGCAACAGGAAGTCAACTGTCACACTGAAGGAAGCTTGGGAAAAGACCTCAAAGCCCACCCCAATAGTGGCATACTTCCTCAAACAAGGACACACCTCCTAATAGTGCCACTCCCTTTTGGGGGCATTTTCTTGCAAACTACCATAAAGCCTAATCAGTGTTGGTGTGTCTTTGGAAGGCTTTGAACCTGAAGCAATAGACCACCAAATGAGTGAAAGCAGGGAGACGTTAAGGTGAGAACCACACTGTTTGCTTCAGTACTGAGCAATTCCCCCTCCAGAGTATGATATATACATTTCTCTCGGTCAGAAGAATAGTCTGTGGTTAGAGATTCTTTATCTGAGTCAGTGCCCTTTTGTTATGCAGGTTTTGCCATTGGAGAAGGAGAAGAAAGCTTCACCTCTGTGCAAGAGACTCTCATGTATATGGAGACTCATATTGTGGCAGGAGGTAATGTAGGTGAGTCCATCATTTATTAGGTCAGTCTTAAGAGGGAGACCCAGCCTTGCATTGCCTCTGTGTGGTAGACAGATGTAAATCTGTTCTTTGGCAATATTACAAGAGGAGGAAGCAGGATGGGTAATGTATGATAATTGTGGATTACAAAGTAGTTAACAAGGCATTTCCTCCCATCCATGCCACTGTGTAGAACATTGCTCAGTTAAAGAAAAACTGATGCAAGTAATGAGATATATTCACACTCTGCTGGGTATTTCCCACTTGATTTTAGTATCCCCTTAGCTGATTAATCAGAAAAATAGCATGTCAATTATATTTCCTGAAGATGGATGGCTATCAGAAACACTGCCCCCACATTTTATAAAGGTTTCATTATGTAAATATTATGATAACTACTTTTTTTGACATTTTTTTGTAAATTTATTTTACAACATCATTTAGTTCAACATAATAGCCACAGAGTCCCCTGTTCTCCCACTCTCGCCCCCTTCCCCCTCCCCCCACCCCACCCCCCATTCCCACCTCCTCCAGATCAAGGTCTCCCCCGAGGACCGGGATCGACCTGGTAGACTCAGTCCAGCCAGGTCCAGTCCCCCCCTCCCAGACCGAGCCAAGCGTCGCTGCATAGGTCCCAGGATTCAAACAGCCAACTCATGCAACGAGCCAAAATTTGAAGAAGCATATGAATTTTGTGGATGGATGCAAAAGGGAGTAAGGATTGGGAATTAGCTCACTGAAGTTTGGGGCAGGGGATAGATGTCCAAATCATGCAAGTCTTGTGGTTGGATTCTTCTGGTAGTAAGGGTGTAGGCTGATGTCTTCAAGTTTTTGGCCTCTTATTTAAGAATGAAATGAAATCTCACACAGCAAGCTAAACTGTACTTAAAACAATGTGATGGAACATGTCAGAATACACTGCAAAATATGTTGATATAAGTGAAGATGCTAAAATGACCCGATTGGTGTCTGGGTCATACTTTCATGGTATGCAAAAAAATTTTAATAGGAGCCTAATTTGTGTGGTTCTCTGTTTTACCTTTCTGACTTTGATTATATATGCATTGTTCACAGTGTACATATTCATTCCCAAAATTCACCTGATTTCAGCTATATTCAAGTAAAATTATGTAGGAACATAGAAGTTTCTCCATTAAAGTTAACTTTCTAAAAGATTTACATTTTAAATGTGTAAGTGTGCATTTGCATGCATGTATACATGCAATTCATTGAAGGTACCTATATGTGATAGTTTGAAGGTAATTACCTCTCATAATCTCATAGGGAGTGGCACTACTAAGAGGCGTGGCTTTGCTGGAGGGGGTATGGCCTTGCTGGAGGAAGTATGTCACTGTGGAGGCAGGCTTTGAGTTTTCTATGCTTGTGATACCACCCAGTGTGTCAGTCAAGTTCTTGTTGACTACAAGATATAGGATGCTCAGCTATTCCTCCAGCACCATATGTGCCTGTATGTCATAATGCTCCCTACCATGATAATAATAGACTGAACCTCTAAAACTATAAGTGAGCCACCCCAATTAAATGTTTTCTTTAGGAGTTGCCATGGCCATGGAATCTCCTCACAGCAAAAGATACCCTAACTAAGACACTACGCATGCAGCAACCTGGGTGCAGGGAATCGAACTCAATTCCACTACAAGACCAGTCTGCACCCTTAAAAACCAAGCTATATCTTCACTCCTTCTCATAAAAGTTTACTTTGAGGACAAGTTTTCCACTTCAAATATGATCTTGGTTTGTTTCTCATATCAAGATGCTAAGATATGTCGCCATAGATACCGTACCCTTATTGGACAGATGAACTTCCTTCTTGCTGTCTGGCTTTCATAGTGCGAGAATTGCTGCCAACACCTCAATTTAGTTATGGTGTTGTGTGCCATATTCCCTATTCCAACTGAGATGCAGCACAGGTATTATGTGTGCAATGAACTATATGCAGTTAGATTTAAGACATTCCAAGTGGGAAGCAGAAAACAAAATCTGTGGCTTCAGAGTTAGCAAGGGAAGTTTTTTCTGCTCTTTTATTAAATGGATATGATGTGCCTGTCACTATGCATTGAAGCATTTATTTTTATGGCCAGATAATAATAATACTGCTACTTTTCCCCTTCATAGCAGAAGTATATTTTCCAGTGGGTAGTGATAACTGTAGAGACTCAGAACTCTTCAAAGTTTATATTTATATTTAAAGTGACTTATATGGTTTGGTTTAACATGGTAATTTTATTTTCGTGGCAATTTTATTTGTTTATTTCCTTTAAATTTTGCTGGGTTTATACTTAAAATGTTTCTCACCTACTAAGGACTTATAAGAATGAATTCACAACAAGTCCTTCATAACTCATCAACAGACATGGGAGCAACATGCACTTCCCTGGATATTCTCATATAGGTCAATTTTCCTCAAGATAGACAGGTTGTAGTTCATGTTGGTTTATTGTTTTACCAGGTGTGCCAGTTTCCATCAGGTCTGACATCAGAAGCCTACCTTCCAAAGAACCTGCAATTTTATTTTCATATATTTTGTATCTATACTTCTTTTTTTTCCAGAATATGTCTCAATATTTTTTCTTTTGTTAATAATTAGTTATGTAAAATTTTATGTATTTAATTTTTTAAAAAATTAAAACTATTTATTTAAAGTTTACATCCCAGGAACAGTTTCTACTCCCTCCTCTCCTTCCAGGCCCTCCTCCCAGACCCCTCTCTGTCCCTACCACCCATCCATCCACTCCCCCTCAATTTCTGTTCCAGAAAGGACAGGTATCCCATGAATATCGACAAAACATGCCATACTGATTTTCAGTAAGACTAAGGACCTACCCATGTATTTAGGCTGGGCAAAGCAACACAGTAGGATGAGTATGGACCCAAAAGCCAATAAAAGAGTCAGAGACATCCCCTGCTCCCACTATTGGGAGTCCCACAACAGGACCATGCTATACAACTATAACACACGCTAAGGGCCTAGGTCAGTCCCACACAGGTTCCTTGGCTATTGGTTCTGTCTATGTAAATCTCTATAAGCCCTGGTTAGTTGATTCTGTGGGTTTTCTTGTGGTGTCTTTAACCCCTCTGGCACCTACAATCCTTTCTCCCCCTCTTCTGCAAGATTCCCCAAGCTCCATCTAATGTTTAGCTGTGGGTCTGCATCTGTTTCCACCAGTTGCTGGATGAAGCTTTTCTGATGACAAATGGGTGAGGCACCCGTCTATAAGTATAACATCATAACATTGACATCATCCCCCGCCCTAGTTTTATGTTTGGTTCTCTCTTAGGGAACTGGGTCACCCAGTCTGTGGGTCCTAGTACTTCAGATAGAGTCAGGGGTGGTCTTATTCTCTGGGTAAGGGTTTTAGGCTAGATCAGTCATGGGTTGGCCACTCTCTCAATCTATACTTTTCGACAACCAATATTCTTTGAAGTTTGTGGTTTAGAAGTCAACTATTGAGGGTTCAGTGATCCAGAATACATCTTGCTCTTGCAGAGAAGCTGGGTTTCATTCCAAGCACTCACATGACAGATCACAACAGTCCATGACTCCAATCCCACGGAATATTACACCATATTCTAAACTACACCACACCAGGAATGCACAGAGTACACATACATACATGAAAGCAAAACACATAAAAATAAATAAGAAAAATTCAAAAATTAGCAGCATCTGATAAGCTGTATTTTAATAATCCTCCCATTTCTGATCATACCATGTCACATCTAAACACTCACATGAATGTGAAAAAAGTAGCATTTCCAAATCTCACATGGCATTTTCACAGAGCTGGTCATTATCCATCAGTATATGAGAAAGACAGATCCTAACCACACCCTGCATTCTGTGTTCTGTACAACACCAGCAAACTATAAGTGTGCCCCACTGTCACCACTCTCTTGGGCATCTTATACAACTGTTCATTTTCTCAGAATTAGTTTGGGGCTCCAGTCTTCCTTTAGGATGATGGTCTAGCTAAAAACCAATGTCTATTAATTTTGTCTATACAACACACCAGTGAATGATAATCAGACCTTTACAAACCATAACAATCACAACAACCTCTACACCCCAAATATTGAATTAATCTAGTGCTACAATATTCTGAATTGAAACAATGGACAGCAATTGGATTCAAGACTGTGTCTCAAGAATGTTAGGAGATACTGTACCTACAGAATGGATCAAATGTGAAGGGTTCATATTGAATATGAAATACTGTATACAGTCTATGTTTTAGAGTGCTCTGACTACACACAAATAAGATGGTTATTGAGTACTGCCTAGATGAAAATCCCTGATATAGTGTCTGATGAGCAGGAAGGGTGAGAGTGCTGAGAAGCTTGCACTCATGGCCACATTGGCATTGACCAGCCATGCACCTGTTCCATCCTGGAAAGAAAAATATACCATTAAGGCGAGAGAGGATACATAAAAAACCACAAAACTGCTCACTAGGGTAAGAATTCTTTGTGTGGCTTTGGTCTCAGGAAATGATTTAGTAGATACAGATTTGTGGATATGTTGGACCCTCTTTTTATGTTTGAACAAGATTAACATCATGAAGCCACTGGCCCACACCATCAGTCCCAAACACATAACATCATTGGAAACCAATAGGATTGCATATACTTTGAGAGATTGTTTGGAAGGTTTTACGATGACACAATACACAAATTGTCTAAATTCAGTAAGATTCCCTTTATCCCTCATGTCAGTCACTGTACTAAAGAGAAAGATACATGTAAGTAGATTCAGGGCCCAGCACAGGCCTAGGAAAGGACCAATTAACCTAGGGGCTTTGACCTTGAGCTGTGCCCACTTGGAATTACTGGGGCTGATGGTAATGGCCTGAAAGACACTCAACAGGGATGTGGAGCCAAGGGATACTCCCCTGGCAACTCTATGAAAATAAAAGACAAGTTTACATGAAATATTATCTAGAGAATATGCCTGATCAAAAACAGCCATTATCTGAGGGATTCCTTTGCAGAGAAGAACCATGATGTTAGCCCAGGTCAGGTGTTTGATAATCAGGTCTGTGGGCCTCACCCTGTTCCCACTGAAGTTAGAAAGAATGAGACAGCAAAGCAAGGCTAAGTTCCCAAACATGCCCAGTGCAGTCTGAGATAGGAAGAAGATCCCCATGGCCAGGTCTCTGGATGCCATTGTGTCATTTTATAGGAATGTCACTCAGTATCCAATCCTGAGAACTTCAGGATAGACATATAGGACTATTTTCTTCATTGTAGATGAAATACATGCTAGCCAAATAACCACTACTTTACATTCAGATATTAAAATAAAACATGTTTAAAAGTTTTTTGTTGTTATTGTTGGTGGTGGTGGGTTTTTGTTTGTTTGTTTGAGTTTTTTTCAAGACAGTGTTTCTCTTTGCAGTTTTGGTGTCTGTCCTGGATCTCGCTCTGTAGACCAGGCTGGCCTCAAACTCACAGAGATCCTCCTGGTTCTGCCTCCCGAGTGCTGGTATTAAAGATGTACACCCCTCTGCCTGGCTGTTTAAGAGTTTTTTAACAGCTTTAACTATATATGCATTTTTGTGTCTTTGTGTGACAATATTCACTTTAGTGCAAGTGCTTTTGGACCCAGTCAGGGTTACAGTCAGTGGCAAGCTGCCAGATGTGTATGCTGAGACTAAACTTGAGTCTTCAGTAAGAACAGCATGACTTCCTAACCCAGAAAGTCTTCTTTAGAGACCCCAAGTTTCTAGATGCTGGAGCACTGACTGCTCTACCAGCACACACATGGCAACTCACAAATGTCTGTAGCTTTATATCTAGGGGTTCCACACCCTCACACAGACTTACATGCAGTCTCAAAATATTCCCAATTGTTCCTACAAATAGACACCAGTCACAGGACTGTAGTTAAAGACAAAGTTAGTACTGCACCTGTTGGTTTTCAGCAATTTTCACATGGCTCTACAGATGATGTGAGATTTCCAGCTCACAGGAGCCTTGTGTGTGTGTGGGGGGGGGGGGCTTCTAATGATGAGACAGACAGTTATAGGATGAGTTTTGTGACACTACAGATTCCCTGGATTTTACCACTGGCAAACGGCAGACATACCACAACCAACACCATTTTGGAAAAAAAAATAATGTCCTCTAGGCTGTATGGTGCAAAACTGTTCTCTTCAGGGGCCCCTCGTCATAATTTTAAAATGAATGTCATTTACACTGCCATTCTTGGGTCTATTTTACCAACTCTATATTTTTGAAATATGCCATTAATTCCTAGCATATGCCATTGGCATGCATCATGTATTCAACATAAATATCAAAAGGTGATGACAATGCTAATCACATATGAAACAGATCAATTTTATACAAACATTGAACTTAATAATTTGCAAAGGTTGATTCAATGTCGGAATGACAGCCATGAGAACTTTCCCCATGTACTATAGTACAGTATGGTTAACACCAGAACACAGTCTCTATTCTACCACAGTTGTGTAAACATATGCAAAACAGAATTTGATGCATACCTATATGAATAGTGTGTAAGATTTTCTTTGAGACAGGAAAATGTAAGTGAAATATGTATACATTGGTCCAAAGGAAAATCTGGAGATCAAGGACTCCAAGGTCTGTCTGCAAGGTAGAAACCATAGCAGTGGAGATATAAATATTTAGTTCTGCCCAAGTGATGCTAAAATACGCAAGTCATAGAAACCTCATTAGAATTGATTGAAATTTGAATCACACTTATCTGATTTTGTCCACACTTGTATGCACATAAATAGAGCATGAAATCACAATTACTGTTCTTGCCCCTAAGAAGGAAAAATTAGCTTTCGTCACTGTACCACTAGGCACCTGTGTTTCCAAAAGTAAACTACCACCTGCTTCTATGACTCTGAGTCAAAGAGGCAGCTTCCAAGGAAAGCAAGGATTCTCATATTTTTAGGTTCTGCTCTCTGGCACTTGTGATTATAACAGGCATTACATTTCACTGAGTAGGCCTAGTATTTTTCCAAAGAAAACTTGTGTGTGTGTGTGTGTGTGTGTGTGTGTGTGTGTGTGTGTGTGTGTGTGTGTGTGTGTTGATGGGGGTCTGTCTGTATCCCTTGAATACTGTTATAAAGCATTTTAGATGCAAAGACCCCCAACCTGCCTCCTGTGACAGCAAATCCCCCTTGCCAAAGGTTTTTAGGGAGAGGAGACTAAGCACACAGGCATCTCTCTGGCAGATTCCCTCCACCCGTGGAGTGTTTAGGACTCAGATGATCCACCACCACTCTGTGAGTATCCATACAGTGCAGCATTCTGTCCCTGAAAGAGAAAGACAAGCTCAGAGAGCTGCACTTACACAGTTGGCAGCCAGGTGTCTAGCTTCTGCAAGTCTGAAGGAAGAAATCAAGACTCACCTATGAAAGCAGATGCCTTGGTGATAGCAGATGCTCCACAGGACCTCAGTGGTCAGAGGGACAAACAGCCTGTCTCTATATAGTCACTTGGACACAGGGGCACCTGTTCATATGCTGATACCTCATCTCCCCTGAGGTCAAGAGGATGTCACAGGAGGCAGCCATGACACTGTCTGCTAAGGGAGTTGGCTTCACCTCTGAAAAACACTTCTTCCCATCAGAACCTTCAGGAAAGTTTTCACTGCGAAGTGAACAGCAGAGGGACACAGTGAGGATCTGGAGGGGATTCTCCTCTCCTGGAACAGTGGATCACAGAGGGAGTTCAGACTGTCATAACCGTGGGATAGGTTCTAAGGAAGAGCAGGTAAGGATGGAAAGGGAAGTTGGAGCTGGAATTTTAATTTCCCTGAGTTAGTCTTCCCTACACTTACTGAATATAAAAACAGGAAATGACCAGAATACATGCAAATACAGAACCCTGACCCCAAACTTTTAGACCAGGAAGCCAAACTACCTTTCTGAAACCTTGATAAATGGGGTAAGGACTTTTCCTTAGTGATATTTTTCTTATTTTCTGACACAATTTATGACAATATAATTACTCACATTTAGGACTACCCAAAGAAAGGTAATCATGCAATAATAAACAATAAATAAATAAATAAATCTCCATAGGTTACCTTGCTTGTAGTTAGCATGTCTGCTGCATTCATATGCCCACCACAACCCTCATTCAGGCACAGTATAGCCATTCTTTTGTCATTGTGAGGATTTCTGACTCCTTCACACTCCTCAAGCATATGACTCAGTTGTGAATCTTGATAAAAGTTAATGGCATTAGATAAATTTGGAATGCCCTCCACATGAGCTCATGTATTTGAGACCTGGCCTAAAGAATTAAGGTCCAACTTCTGCACATCACAAACTTATAACCCCGACTTAGGGATTTGGGCTCGTGACAAACAGCTGACTTGCAACCGCCAGTCATGGAAACAGAGTTTCAGTCACTCACAGGTAGCCAAGAGTAGTTCACAAACCCCTCAGATATAGCAACCAACTGCTGAGACAAAACCAATAGCTTTCCCTGAACCCCTCCTTTGCGTAGCTTCCCAGTGTCTGTGTGTGAATGTTTTTGTCCTGTGTTTACAAACAGACATCTTCCCTGAATCTCCTCTAGTTCTGGGAACTGCACAAGTTACAAATGCTTCTTTGCTCAGTACAACCCTATGGATTTAATATGTTCTGTAACTTTCTTTGAACAACAACTCAAAATTGACAACCAGCTTTATAGTATTCACAAACAAATACCAAAAGAGACATAGAAAGAGAAATGGAGAAAGAATAGATGACAGTGTTGTTCAAAAATTAGATACATCATGGAGCTGGAAAGATGGCTCAGAAATTAAAAGCATTTGTTGCTCTCACAGAAGATCAAGGTTTGGATCACAGCACCCACATAGTGGCTTACAATCATCCATTATTCAAATTCCATGGGATCTGGTGGGTTCTTTAAAATTCCATGAACACCAGGCATGCACATGGTGTACACATACACATGCAGACACAATACTCCATGGGACCCAGGTTCGATTCCCAGAATGCACATATCTCATAATTGTCTGGAACTCCAATTCCAGGGTACCTGATGTCCTCTTCTTACCCTTGTAGGCACACACGGAAGACACACACACACACAAAAAAAAAACATTCACACATATCAAATAAAATAAAGAACACATGTCACAAAACGTATGTGTTATAAGCATGCTGACAGTGGGTAATTATATATATATATATGGTTTGTTTCAGTTTTTTTAAATTTTTTATTCATTTTACATACCTGCCACTGTTCCCCCTCCCACCCCTCCTCTAGCTCTCCTCTTCTGCTGCTCCCCAATCCACCCCCATCCACTCCTCCGAAAAGGTAAGGCCTCACATGGGGAGTCAACAAAGCCTAGTAACACTAATTTAAAGCAGTACCAAGCCCTCATCAAGGCTGAGCAAAGTATCCCACCATAGGGAATGGGCTCCAAAAAGGCAGCTCATGCACAAGAGATATATCCTGGTCCAGACAGTGAGTAATTTATAAAGCACTCAATGGTATCAGTCACAACACTGTCTACCAAACAAGCTAAAGGTTAATGAACTAATGCATTAAATCTGGTTCTGGTAATTTTTTTGTTGTTATTCAAATCTGACATTTTGTGTTAAATTCTTAATGGTAAGAGAAGCAAAAGGTCTCTGCAGTCCTTTGTGTAAGTTATGGTAGAGGGTGAGGCTGTGAGTGTGACTCTGCCTTCTTGCAGTTATTTACCTCAAATTTTAACTGATATTTTCTCCAGAGGTACCTTACAAAATGTTGGCTGAGGAAATGGCTCAGTTGGTAAAGTGCTTTCTGGGTAATCATGGGTACCATTGTCAGGATCCCCAGCACCTAATTTAGAAGTTTTGTATGCAGTAGGAGCCTGTAACTTCAGGTAGTCAGAAATAGGTATGTTCTAGGATCTCACTGGCCAGCCAATCTGAGCTAAATGTTGAGGTATAGGTTCAGTGGATTCCATATTTTAAAAACCAAGGTGGAGAGTAATAGAGAAAGACACTGGGATTCAACCCCTAGGCTCCACATGAACTTGAACTGCAGAACCTACACCTACTACATATACACACACACAAGCACCCATCAGAGCAGGAATCTGGACAAAACATAAAGTGAACATCAGTCATAAAACAACTGTTCAGTTGGCATCAGGAGTTGGAACTATCAGTTAATTTTTTT